GGCAGCATCAGACTCTTTTCTGATTTAAATGCACTTTTTCCATTGTTTTATCCTGAATAAAGGAGTGGATTGATAACTCAGATAAATTTCTAGGATCAATATATAACCTCCTCGCACCATTTCTTCCATTCATTTAATGTATCCAAACCATTAATGCTCGATGCATTAAGGCCTCCAAAAAAGTAGTGGTAAAATGAATATTTAATCCATAGCAGGGGCATTCACATATTCACGCTCACTTAATTCAGTATATTTTCCTGCAAAGAAATTCAAAGGTATATTTTACTGCAATAATTGAAAGAAACAGTGTGTCCAGAAATCATTTCCAGCAACAATCTGAAGCAAAATACATTCAATCTGAAAGATCGAATGGAAGCAGATAATGAGCCGGAAGCTGTGAAATCAGCAGCAGAAGTATTGACTGCTGGTAAAAGAAATTTGCGCTGATCTTTTCAGCAACTCAACATAATTCTGATTTTGAGAATGATGTTCACTTCAGCTGGGATGACAATAAGATATTAAAGTTGATTCAGAAGGGTCTTCTGCTTCAAACCAATGTCTTGTTCTCATCAAAAGGGGAAAGCAGCATGTATGTCACAGTGATAACAACTATTGGTTAAAGGATAATATTTTACAGTGTCTACCAGGGCTCTGTTGGCTTAGAAAATCTTCAAAAATTCTGTCTAACCTTTCCAAATGACTAGGCTCAGGGCTGAAAAAAATAGAAAATACTGGAAGCATTTTCAAAAGTCATTAAACTGAGATCTAAAATAGTTCTCCCTCCACACATTACAACTTCCCTCAAGATTGATTTTGAGTAGCTTCTGTTTTTATTTCAGAATTCCAGCATCGCTATATTCCATGTTTGTGGTCGGCTGAGAGCTTTTTGCTTTGGGAGTTCAACCAAATGTCCGAGAGTTAATTGGATGAACGGAGTTAGCCATTCCCAGTGTTCGTCTAAATGGATAAGTTACAGTCTACAAGCCAATTAATTTAGTTTTTATTCATTCGTGGGATGAGGGCGTCACTGGCTAGGCAGCATTTATTGCCCATCCCTAATTGCCCAGAAGGCAGTTAAGAGTCAACCACATTGCTGTGGGTCTGGAGTCACATGTAGGCCAGACCAGGTAAGGATGACAATTTCCTTCCCTTAAGGACATTAGTGAACGAGATGGGTTTTTCCAACAATCGGCAATGGATTCATGGTCATCATCAGATTCTTAATTCCAGATTTTTTAAAAATTGAATTCAAATTCCACCTTCTGCTGTGGTGGGATTTGAACCCAGGTCCCCAGAACATTATCTGGGTCTCTGGATTAACAGTACAGCGATAATATCACTAGGCCATCGCCTCCCCTTAATTAATTAATGAAGCAAGGTATGTTCAAAAATTCTCATGAATTCGCACTATGGCATGAATGCCCTGTCAATAACAAGGTAAATAAACTTGTAAACTACCAGTTACTCCATTACTCCTGAACTCTTAAATCAAACATATAAAATCAAAAGTGATGGGCAAAACGTGAATGCCATCTTTTTCATGATAATCTCCAAATGTTTATTCATTCAAAGAACTCCATCTCTCAGTTACCCTATTTCTGCTTCATGGAATATCCCCACTTTGTTCTGCCTCTGTCTCTTTGTATGAGTTCAGTTGTTCACTTACTCTTTACTGGCTCACTTGTTCATTTTTGTGGTGGTCATAATGACAAGATGAAATAAATGAACCACCTGATATGAGATGCTGTTAGGGTTGTAGTGGTTAAAGCAAAAATAAATTACTATTTTTTCACACCACCATGCTGTTACTCATGACCTCAATGTGCCCAATCCTCAAGTATCTTTGACAACAAGGTGCAGGGCTGGATGAACACAGCAGGCCAAGCAGCATCATAGGAGCAGAGCCTCAAGTATCTTTGTTTGTTTCTCCCCACCGTTCAACCTTTCCATTTCAAAATTAATCTGTATTCTGATGTTATATGTATTTCAGATATGTTTGCTAAAAGAACTGTAACTAATTTCAATGATCGTCTCACTAAATTATACCCCTGCAGGACGTGCTTTGCATTTGTAAATGATGATCACAGTTCTAGATAGGCTTGGACTAATCACTTTCCTCTGAGTATGAAGTATCCATTCAATCTGCTTCCAGCACTCATTGATATTGAATTCATTTATTGCCCTGTACTTGGGGCTATTGGAGAGCCCAGTAAGTTACTAATAGCTGTTCAGCATTGTGCAATTAGCCAAACATTTCGGCATCGGCATAATGCACAACTCAGCTACAAATTGTGCTCAAAACTGTGATTGCAGATAAAACTGTGTCTTGCTATGTTTTCATGCAAAATTCCTGGTTTCTCTCTTGCGCACAAAATCTGTCATGTGCCAGTCTGAGGAAGGGTCACCGGACCTGAAACGTTAACTCTGTTTTCGCCTTCACAGATGCTGCCAGACCTGCTGAGCTTTTCCAGCAACTTTGTTTTTGTTCCTGATTTACAGCATCCGCAGTTCTTTTGGTTTTTATGTGCCAGTATTATGTTCATTTTCAGAACGTACTGCCCTTTGTAAATTAATGGTTGACCATCTTGTGTTATTTAAGACTAGAAAATCATAATGTTTTGTTTTATCTACAGTTAACATCGTGCTCATCAGAAAATATAATTATTGGAATACTAATTGACTCATTTTCTGCCTGTGAGCAACCTTATTATTAAAAAATGATTTAAAATGGTATTAAAAAATGACTTACCAGTTAAGCTGAAATTCACTTTTCAAACACTTTTCAAAGCAGTGCAGCAGTGACTGTGTGAACACAAAGGGTTAGGGTTAGGGAATATTTTGATGTCTGATTGGTTCAGTTCAAGACTGGGGTAGGTATAAAACTGCTTGTGATCAGTATTGAGATGAATGTTCTCACTGAATGTGGTGTATATGGATTTCAGTAAAGCATTTGATAAGGTTCCCCATGGTAGGCTATTGCAGGAAATACGGAGGCATGGGATTGAGCGTGATTTAGCGGGTTGGATCAGAAATTGGCTAGCTGTAAGAAGACAGAGGGTGGTGGTTGATGGGAAATGTTTATCCTGGAGTTCAGTTACTAGTGGTGTACCTCTGTTTTGGGGCCACTGCTGTTTGTCATTTTTATAAATGACCTGGATGAGGGCGTAGAAGGATGGGTTAGTAAATTTGCGGATGACACCAAAGTCGGTGGAGTTGTGGATAGTGCAGAAGGATGTTGCAGGTTACAGAGGGACATAGATAAGCTGCAGAGCTGGGCTGAGAGGTGGCAAATGGAGTTTAATGCAGAAAAGTGTGATGTGATTCACTTTGGAAGGAGTAACAGGAATACAGAGTACTGGGCTAATGGTAAGATTCTTGGAAGTGTGGATGAGCAGAGAGATCTCGGTGTCCATGTGCATAGATCACTGAAAGTTGCCACCCAGGTTGATAGGGTTGTTAAGAAGGTGTACGGTGTGTTAGGTTTTATTGGTAGAGGGATTGAGTTTCAGAGCCATGAGGTCATGTTGCAGCTGTACAAAACTCTGGTGCGGCCGCACTTGGAGTATTGCATACAGTTCTGGTCACCGCATTATAGGAAGGATGTGGAAGCATTGGAAAGGGTGCAGAGGAGATTTACCAGGATGTTGCCTGGTATGGAGGGATGGTCTTATGAGGAAAGGCTGAGGGACTTGAGGCTGTTTTCGTTAGAGAGAAGAAGGTTAAGAGGTGACTTAATTGAGACATACAAGATGATCAGAGGATTAGATAGGGTGGACAGTGGGAGCCTTTTTCCTCGGATGGTGATGGCTAGCATGAGGGGACATAGCTTTCAATTGAGGGGTGATAGATATAGGACAGATGTCAGAGGTAGGTTCTTTACTCAGAGAGTAGTAAGTGCGTGGAATGCCCTGCCTGCAAAAGTAGTAGACTCGCCAACTTTAAGGGCATTTAAATAGTCTTTGGATAAACATATGGATGATAATGGAATAGTTTAGGTTAGATGGGCTTCAGATTGGTTTCACAGGTCGGCACAACATCGAGGGCCGAAGGGCCTGTACTGCGCTGTAATGTTCTATGTTCTATGTTCTATGAATAAATTCAATTTAAATGGTCTTAGGTAGAAAATATAGGGTCAGCTAATTGGAAACAAATTGTAGAATGTTAGAATCACCCCTGGAAGTCAGAACTGAACATAAATCAAAACTATACTTTGAAGATGGGAAACAAATTGAGACAACTGTGAAGAAGGCACTCGGTGTTCTTGGCTTGGTTTTAGCAGAATAGAGTGAATAAGTGAGGAAGGTTTACTAATTAACAACTGTAAATGAAAAGCAGTGATAACGAACTGAATTCAGATATGACGGTTTACCTAAAGTTTATTAGTCACCAGGATCAGTTCAAATGGATCCAGAAATGTCAGAGAAATGAGAATGGTGACTGCTGAGTAAATGGCTAAACATTCACAATCTTCCTTCAACATTCTGTTAGCACCAGAGGGCAGATGGGTCCAGGAACTGAACCATTGCCATTGGCGTTACAATGGAATGAAAACCAGTGCTCAAGCCAACACAGCTCACTGACTCTCAACCTAAGAGTTGGGTATGTTCCATCCTCACTCAATAGATTGTGATTTTAATCCAAGAAATTACAATCTGTGCTGTTAGTTTATCATGCAATCAAAAATGGTGGTAAAATTTTCATGAATAGTGCACCTAACTAAAGGATACAGTCGTTGGTTATCCATTGCTGTTGAGCAATACACATCACAACAAACTGAAATACTGAAGCATGTATCGCCAAATCAAAAAGAGAGCCTGTAGCTATCAAACTGAGTATTCGGCATTGTCCTCATAGATACTCCTTCACAGTATGGTCTGATGTTTTGTAGGAAAATTGGAAAAAGCAACTTGTGTTTGACAGCTTTTTGAGCAGGAGAATTGAAAAATTGCTGACGCGAGAGCTTTTTTTCCATTTATATAAATATAATAACACAAATAACAATGGATATACTGGACACCACTTCCAACCAACAATATGGACTACAAAAAAGTCATAGACGTAAACTGGAGAACTACGCATGTAAGGTGGTTTCCAGGTAGGTCAAAGTTTTAGGTTGGTATGGAGGTAGGGTGCAAGGAATTAGGGTGCAAGTTATGCACAGGGCAGGCTGCCTGATAGGTAAACAGCCTGGAGCATAGAGTTGGGGGGCCAGGAAAAGAGGGATCAGGTGAGTATGGGTTAGTTTCAAGGTAGGTATAGGGATAAAGTGCCAAGTGAGTAGAGCACAAGATGTATCCAGAGTAGGGTGCCAGGTAGGTAATGTGCCAGGTCCATCATGTGCCTAGGACTTAGGTGGAGAGGGCCATGACCAATAGCCAGGAAGTGTTGTTTGTGATGAAGAGGAAAGAGGTGTCAGGTGCTGCTGGAGTGGCCAGATGGTGTCAGGTCTGGAGCAAGGGCTTGTTGGCTCAAGGGGGAGGAGTTTTTTAAGTCTCAAGTATGTTGGCAATAAGGTGACAATGCAGGGAAAGTAACGGGAGATATCAGAGAAGGTAGCGGGGAGACAGAGTCGGATCTCGAGGAATGTAGGAGCTGTGTCTTGATGTCTTAATGTGTACTGGATCCCAGAGGTAAGATGATAGGTGTAGATTCAGGTTCTCAGGTTTCTCTGTCGTGTGTGTGTGTGTGCACATGCAGGTGAGTTGTGTGGGGGTGCATGAAGATGGAGCAGTTCTGTTTGTTCAAATTTGTGAATACGGATGATTAGTTTGCTCAGGACTTGCATTAGGTACTTAATAGTCTAATGTTTCCCGAGGTACTATTTACTTAACTGCAGCAGGACCCCTTAAATTTGCCAATTAAAACTAACATATTTAGAGGGTTCAAGGCATATGAGCATTTCCACTGAAACCTTCAACCTCTATGTCTGCTATCCTGGGGAGTCTACAAGGTCCAAATCTTCAAATCCCACCTACACTTCAGAACAATCATCTGGCCAGCAGAAAATCACGGAAAATGAATGTGGTATTTGAGGATAATGCACGTAAATGGGATTAAAGTCCAAAATGTAAAAACTGTTCCTGAGTCTAAAGAATCTTGGAAAATGACCATCAATGCACCTAATATTTCTTGGGTCACTTCCTTAAATCCTCGGGATGTAGATTATTTGAGACCCTGTTTCTCAGCCTTCAGTACCATCAATTTCTCTCATAATTTTTCTGCCAATACATATTTGTTTCAGTTCCTTCTTTTCACTAAACCCTGTCTTCCCTCTCATTTCTAGTGCGTTATTTGTGGCCTCCTTTCTGAAGATAGAATCAAAGTCTAAACTTACTTCATCAGTCATTTCTTTGTTCCAAATTAATAATTCACCCCATGTTTCTGACTGTAAAGGACCGACAAAAATGTTCATCAATCTTTTTCCCTTTAAGTATCCAAACAAACTTTTACAGTCAGTTCTTATATTCCTCACAACCCCTTGATGATCTTTTGCTGACTTCTAAACTGTCCTAATCCTCAGGTTTATGGCTTTCTCTTGCCAATTGGTATGCTTCTCTTTTGTATCTAAGACTCTCTAACTTCCTGCATAAGCTATAGTTTTGCCACTGTTCTCTTTGCACTCTTGCATCAAACAGGAATAAGCAATATTTGTAGTTCACCCATTCGCTCTTTGAAGATTTGCCATTGCCTATCGACTGTCAATCATTTCAGTAACCTTTCTGAATCCACTGTAGCTAACTCATCCTTCATTCTATTATAGTTTCCCGAGCAAAGATTCAGGACTCTACTCTCAGAATCATCCATCTCACTTTCCATCTGGACGGCAGTGGTACAAGATGACCACATACCATCACCTTACAAGGATACTTAGGAGTGGGCAGCAAATCCTGGCTTTGCCATGGGTGCCCAAATCACAGGAAAGAATGAAATGAATATACTATGTCTACGTGCGAAATCAGCCCTGCATCCTTCTGGAATATTCTCCAGACATTCATGCGCATGCTTTGCAGAGCATTTTACTATCTGCCTCTTATTTCTGTGATCTCAGTCCACATTAGGTATTTCTGCACTCTAATACATTTTCATTTCAGATCTGTTTGTTCAAAAGACTGGAAGTAATATCACCCTAATTACATCCTTGGAGGATTTGGTTGCTAATGTATATGGACTCCTTGAGTTGGTGACAGTTTCAAGTCAAGGTTGAATTATTTGGCACAGAAAATGAAGTACCCTTTCAATTTGGTACCAACACTTGCTGACATTGAATTCATTTACTGCCCTGTGCTTATAGCTATTGGAGTGTCTGGTAAGTAATATCTGTCCACATTTGTGCAATTGATTTACTGTTTTTACTTTGAACATGATGCATAATCTAGGCAAGAATGGTGCTCAAAACAGAGCCACTTACGAGAAGTGTTTCTCTTCCTAAACTGTTCATTCAACATTAATTCACCATCTTTTCAAAATCAGCTACGAACCAATCGGGAAACCTATCAAATGGAATGGTACTTTAAATAAAATACCTTCATGGTTTTCTTTCACATCTTTAAGAGTGATAATTGTATGCAGTTTGATTAATATAATAAAACCTAACCTGCTGATGTCAAATTACTTATTGTGCTTGCGATGTATAATCCTATTTTAGATAATTTACTCAAATGTTCAAATAGTGGAAACACTCAATGGTGATTGATTAGACATGGAAACATTGGACTTTGAGAACAGAGCCAACATATAACATATTTCTTTACTAACTGAAGACAAAAGATTGAGAAGTTTGATTGATAAACACAATTTAAGTTTATAATTCAGCGATCTTTGCCAACTGTTTCATTGTTTGCTGGAAAACTACTTCCACTGATTAGAGACAACAAGGTGCAGGGCTGGATGAACACAGCAGGCCAAGCAGCATCATAGGAGCAGAGAGGCTGACGTTTCGGGCCTAGACCCTTCATCAGAAAA